GAACGAAACACGATATTACCTATATTTCATTTCTTTAAATATTGTCTACAGAGGTACTGCCTTGATCTTGGTTTTAATCTACCTAGAGTGAACACGATACAATCATTCTCAGACGCCATGCGAGCCAGGCATTTCGCTTCTCAAACCGGTATAAATGTTCATTTTCATTGCCGATTTTGTAGAAAAAATTATAGAGATATTTTTTGCTAACAATATATTGTAAAAGTTGAAAATAATTCAGATTGTTCTTTGAGATTTTGATTGCAGTGCTTTAGAAAAAAAATCGATGGATTACATTGCATGTGCATGACGTTTTGATGCTATATAATTTTTATAGAAAAAAAACAACAAGTTTTCATCATAAAAGAATGATATAGATCGTTTCCATAGATTAACACTATATTTGTTATCCCATTGGGATAACACAGTTAGCTTCTAGTGAGAGCCTCTTTTTGTATCACATAGGTACCGTCATTTAGAGAGGTCATTGAGATAGTTTCACGTTATGTTATCTTGTTCAGCTTCAAATATTGAGTTGGGATGGAAATATCGATGTACAGAATAGATACAGAATAGTTAAAATTAAGGGAGTAGAGGGAAAAGGTGTTTTTGGGTCGGACCAATTTGGCTGAGACATGTGTTAAAACACCATCACCCTGTCACGTGTTCATAACATAATTTAGTATCCCGTTTCTCTTCTGACCATGGGTTTTATTTTACTTCAGTAAAACTATTGCGTCAAGCGGATGCCAAGTAATTCCCTTTGATTCCCCCATCCACAATATCCTACTTTTTACTCTGTGTTGTTTAATTTATATTTTTTCCTATTGTTCGCTGTTGTTGACTTGTTTGCCTTCTTTCAATTGTCCCAACTAATTGTCTTTTTTTTTTTTAAATGGCATACAGGCAACTGTTAATTGCCCGAATAGTGTTCACAGAATTATTTAAATATAGGAGAGCGTCGATCTTTGTAATTAAATGAGATCGGATGATTTTCGGAAAACCGATTTTTTTAGCTAATCGAACACTCCCATTTATATATTTCGTTCAGGAATCTATTTCATAGAATACAATATAAATTAGCCTTGTAAATATACATGAATTTTACTTTTACGTGTTGACAACACCATATAGTCTACAGTATATGAATAATTGGATTAATATCAATTCGCGTCACAAAACTTTTTTTTGATCAGAAATAGATAATTGCTAAAATTAGATCTCTTACCCTACAGTAAAATGTAAGGTCAATTTTTTGTTGTTTTTTGTTTTTTTTTTTGTATTCATGTTTTTTAAGACTTATATACCATATCTAGATTGGAACTGGACTGTGTAACTTGAGTAACACTGGTTATCCGTTCTTGATACATGTCATTCACATTGCGTACGATTATAATAATACTAGATTAAGAAAGATATTGGGGATTTGTGATAACAGATGTTCCTGACATTTCACGCTATGCCATAATTCGTTTCAACATAATCCCTTGCAGCGAATGCTACCGTGTGGCTGGGGATAGAGTACCACGTGACACATGGACAATATTGGTGGGAAGAGAATAGCGAGTTTGTGAACTTCAGGTCGCTGAACGCCGAGGGGCTACCTATTGAAGATGTTGACCTGTGTAAGGTCATCGACCTTTCGAACTTAAGAATCTCTAACGTCAACTGTACAAAATGTCACCATGTCTTGTGCATGAAATCGCGTGAGTTTTGTCCAACTAATCAACTTTCTGCGGCTTGAATCGTACATTAACCAAAAGTTTCTTTTTCTTTTGAATATAAGAGGTATTAGAGGGTCGTTCTTTGATAGTTAATGCATTTATTTTTATAATTCAACAACAACTTAAACAAACTGTTTTTGTTTAAATCGTTTATAACATGTAAAATCCGGTAGGAAGGGTGGGGCTGAAATTTGAACACACGTGAGTAGTGAGCCGTATTGGTGGAGGTCGTGGAGAAATGAAATCATTAGAAAAATGGGGAAGGATCAGAACATAAAGAAATGGCGGAGTGATGCAAGCATAAGGAAAACAGGGCGCCAACATCGAACGTTTTCTTTATACTGTCATCACTCCACCACCTCTGCCAACCTCCACCGTTTTCTTTATACTTTCATCACTCCGCCACCTCTGCCAACCTCCACCGTTTTCTTTATACTTTCATCACTCCGCCACCTCTGCCAACTTCCACCGTTTTCTTTATACTTTCATCACTCCGCCAACTCTGTCAACCTCCACCGTTTTCTTTATACTTTCATCACTCCACCACCTCTGCCAACCTCCACCGTTTTCTTTATACTTTCATCACTCCGCCACCTCTGCCAACCTCCACCGTTTTCTTTATACTTTCATCACTCCACCACCTCTGCCAACTTCCACCGTTTTCTTTATACTTTCATCACTCCGCCACCTCTGCCAACTTCCACCGTTTTCTTTATACTTTCATCCCTTCACCGTTTTCTTTATACTTTCATCCCTCCACCGTTTTCTTTATAGTTTCATCCCTCCGCCAACCTTTGCCGAACACCACCGTTTTGTTTATACTGTTATCCTCCGACAACCTCCGACAAAATCCATCGTTTCGTTTATTCATCTTTCCGCCACCTGCGCCAACCACCGCCAACCTCTAAATTTTGTTTATACTTTTAGTCTCCGGAAAAAAACTCCATCGTGTTCTTTATACGTTCATCGCTCCGCCAACCTCCACCGTTTTTTTTTGTATACTTTCATCCCTTCGCCAACCTTCGCCAACCTACGCCAACCTTTTCCAACCTTCACCGTTTTCTTTATACTTTCATCCCACCACCAATTCCACCAACCTCCGCCCTTTTTCCTTATGATTTCATCCCTCCTCCATTTCCTTATGTTCTGATCCTTCCACCTTGTCCTTATTATGTATTTCCTCCGCCACGTCCGCCAATACGGTTTAAAATAAACCTTAAATACGACTCACGTGCGTGTATGTAAAGCAACGTTAAAAGCATCCAACTTAGAGGTCTTCCTCAATAAAGCTCACTGCCCGAACATTTGTTCACACCCATGAAGCGTATTAATATTACAATCATCCACCCGCTTCTACAACTCAGTTTCTTTTCACTAAATATTTCAGAAAAAGCAAAACACAATAATATGTGACAAACACATTTGCATTATTTTTCTGATTTAAGACTCATTTAGCGCACTTATCGGGAATTTAAGTTCGTGAAATCAGCGCCATCATATTTGCTTCACCCCCACCCCCCTTGAAATTCCGGAAAAAATGTAAGGGGGGGGGGGTTGGTTTAGGCAGAAAATTTGACTGATTGTGTTGCCATCTGCTTCAATTGTCTGTTCTTAATTTGAGCTCGACAGGCTGACGGTATATAGTTCAATTGGCCTTCCAGAGAGTTTGCCATGAAGTTACAAAAGCAGATTTAATATAAAATGTTGCCCTTAATCGGCACCAGTTTTCATTGTAATTTTGACCTAAGCATTTAGAATTATTTTTCTTTTGCTATATCACTTTAAAAAAAGGAAGGGGCAGGTTACCCAACGCAAGAACCGAATGTTTCCCTAAGACAAGGAATTGGCTATTTCCAAAAGTCAGAAAAGGGCTGGGACCTTAAGACATGACTGTGTCATTAAGACATGTAAGTGACTGTGTCACTAAGACTTGGAGGAGACTGTGTCACTAAGACATGGAGGTGACTGTGTCACTAAGACATGTAAGTGACTTTTTCACTACGACATGGAGGTGATTGTGTCACTAAGACATGGAGGTGACTGTGTCAATAAGACATGAAGGTGACTGTATCACTAAGACATGGAGGTGACTGTATCACTAAGAAATGGAGGTGACAGTGTCACTAAGACATGGAGGTGACTGTGTCACTAAGACATGGAGGTGACTGTGTCACTAAGACATGGAGGTGACTGTATCACTAAGACATGGAGGTGACTGTGTCACTACGACATGCAGGTTACTGTGTCACTAAGACATGGAGGTGACTGTGTCACTAAGACATGCAGGTGACTGTCACTAAAACATGGAGGTGACTGTGTCACTAAGACATGCAGGTGACTGTATCACTAAGACATGGAGGTGACTGTATCACTAAGACATGGAGGTGAATGTGTCACTAAGACATGGAGGTGACTGTGTCACTAAGACATGGTGGTGACTGTGTCACTAAGACATGCAGGTGACTGTGTCACTAAGACATGGAGGTGACTGTGTCACTACGACATGCAGGTTACTGTGTCACTAAGAAATGGAGGTGACTGTGTCACTAAGACATGGACGTGACTGTATCACTAAGACATTGAGGTGACTGTGTCACTAAGACATGGAGGTGACTGTGTCACTAAGACATGCAGGTTACTGTGTCACTAAGAAATGGAGGTGACTGTGTCACTAAGACATGGAGGTGACTGTATCACTAAGACATTGAGGTGACTGTGTCACTAAGACATGGAGGTGACTGTGTCACTAAGACATGGAGGTGACTGTGTCACTACGCCAAGAAGTTGGCTTGATCCACTTGACGAGGAATAGGCTTTGAATTATATCCTTCATTTATTTGTTCTTATCTGGCACACTAGCTGCTTAATTAAGAAGTAAATATCCTCTCGGTGGGACATCAAAATTGCATGAAACTATCTCTTAACTTAAGACAAAGGGAGATTCATCAAATTAGTTAATTTGTCGACAGTAAAGAAATAAAGAAAAAAACACAATTATATATGTTCTTTGAAATACTTCAGCTTTGAAATAAGTTCCAGTCATGAACTTAGTGATTGAAGGCTTGATTAAACGATTTAACATAAAATACATTATGTTTCTTTATTTGGTCCGAAAAATTATCAGATAATTAATATAATGTCCTTGACCAGACCAGTCATTCACAGTCTAGTATTGATTTAAATGTAACAGTTCTTCTAGTCATATACTTGTTATTTTAATTTTTTTTTTCATGTGGAGTCTTACGCCTACTCATTGTTTTAATTACAGAACTGCACTGGTTCGGTCCCAACAAGAAGTATTTGTGTCACTGTAGGTCTGGCGGATGTGACGAAAAAGGGGTGTGTCGTGAAGCTGGCGGAAGGTGTGCTAGGGGATGGTTCGGGGAAGGTTGTCAGTACGGTAAGTTGAGAGCAATGGAGTTTCTTTCATAAATCATTCAATTACATCCTCACGTCGCCATAAGACGATGGAGTAGCATATCAACACATACATAGCTTACAAGGCAGATCAAGAAATAGGGGCATTCTTGTCTGCTAATCTCATAGTTATTAGTCTCGGCTGCACATCTCACAGGAGAACCATTACTTCTGGTTTACTTTGACGTTCTGTAATGCTCTTTATGTTGCACGGGCTTCTTTGCGAGCATCTTCTGTCTGCGTGACTCTCTCGGACACTGCTATTCGCAACATTGTTTCACATACAAATTTACCATCAGGTACGCACCACCGACCGCCACTCACTTTACTACGATATTGAAAGAGAGTAATAGATATGGTATGTGTTATATTTGGATAATTATTCTATATCACAAACTTACTTTGTTTTTTTTGTGTTTTTTTTTGGTGTGTTTTTGTTTTTGTTGTTGTTGTCATTGGCCTTTAGGAGACATCTTGATAAATGCGCCCTTCATCCTCACCGACTTTGATGACAAAACTTGCAAGAGGATCGTCAGCCAAGTCAAGTTCTACATTTATAATCAGCATTACGTCACTTGGATCCGTGTCGTCTCTCAACATCCTGGTAATTGAAGTGTTAAAAATATCAATTTTAACGACAGCTAAAATATATAAATAGAAGCACATGGAATTAAACGCGCGGATAGATTGATTGGCCAAGACAACACTTTAGGCAACAGACTAGTCACAATGGTGAGGCTGATGGGCGTACACCAATCTAGAGTTATCCTTCTAGATCTGTTATTGTAAATAAGGGCAAGAATATTGGTCTGCAAAGGATAGCTCGAGATTGGTGTATGTCCATCAGCGTCACTTTACTGAATATTTAAAAAAACAAAAAAGCCTTGTCTTTGAAACAATACACATTTTGTATTGAAAGTAAAAATACTATTAATTTTTTTTTAAATGATCAAGGAGATTATTACTTTTTTTTTTTTTTTAAATATCTAGATCATCAAATTTTATTTAAATCATTTTCAAACAATAAGTTACATTACTTTTTATCAAAATGAAACGCATTACAATTAAATTACAGTAAACAGGGAAAAGTTTAGCGTCGCAGTCGATACTTATGATGGCACCTTTGAGTGCCCTGAGAGAAAAGCCTTCATCATCAACAACTACACAGTGGATTCTTGGTGCAGTGCAGACAGGATCCTCGCTCAAGCTGTGTTGTTAAATTTGACGAGACCGAGCACGCTGTGTTCAGTTCACATCTTTAGAGGTCAGTGCTTCCTAGAATTTAAAAAAAGTTTGTTTTTTACGTTTTTAACAAAGGCTCGTTTCCGTGTATTTTCCCTTGTATTAAGCAAGTTCATGTTTTAGTGTATTAAACAAGGTCATGCATCTGTGGATTGGACCAGTGCGTTTTCCTATGCCTTAAAAAGGGGCGTTTTTCTGTGCATTAAAGAACGGCGTGTTTCTTTGCATAAAGATGGACTTTTTTGTGTGCATTAAAACAGTCTGTTTCTGAGCATTTAAGAAGAGCATATTTCTGTTTATTAAAGAATCGAGTGTTTCTGTGTATTAAAGCAGGGTGTGCATCTGTTAATTAAAGAAGGGTTTGTTTCTTTGAATTTAAAAAAGGCGTGTTTCTGTGCACTACAGAAGGGCGTTTTTTTAACGCCTTAAAGAATGTCCTGTTTCTTGGCATTTATGAAGGGCATTTTTCTTGGTATCAAAGAAGAGCGATTTTCGGTGTATTAATAAGTGTACGTTTCTGTATATCTAACAACGGAAGGTTTTGGGGTATTATAGAAGGGAGTTCTTTTGTGTTAAAAAAGGGAATTATTTTGTGTATGAAACAAGTGCAAGGGTCAGTGTTATAAAAAAGGGCATTATTCAGTTTATTGAACAAGAACATGTTTTTGTGTATTCGAAAAATGCATGTTTCTCTGTATTAAACAACTGCATGTTTCTGTTTATAAAATAACTACTTGCTTTTGTGCATTAAGTACGATTGTTTTATGTGTATTAAACAATTGCGTGTTTCTGTGTATTAAAGAAAAGTGTGTTTTGTGTATTAAACAATGGCGTGTTTCTATGTTTTAAAGAAGAGCGTGTTTCTATGTTTTAAAGAAGGGCGTGTTTCTATGCTTCAAAGAAGGGCAAGTTTCTATGTTTTAAAGAAGAGCGTATTTCTATGTCATAAAGAGGGGCGTGTTTCTATGTTTTAAAGAAGGGCGTGTTTATGTTTTTAAGAAGTGCTCGTTTCGTGTATTAAAGAAGGACGTGTTTCTATGTTTGAAAGAAGGGCGTGTTTCTATGTTTTAAAGAAGGGCGTGTTTCTATATTTTAAAGAAGGGCGTGTTTCTTTTTTTTTTTAAGAAGGGCGTTTTTCTATGTTTTAAAGGAGGGCTCGACTGGTAGGAGGGAATCAGACTCGGATTTTCTGTTTGTTCGACGAAAGTATGGTGAATTTGATAATCATTTGAATTCAATCGAATTGACCATCTTGTTAAAGACCTTCTTTTCGGACAATCATCATAATGGGGTCAATATCTGATGATACTGTGAACTCTTCTGTGGCATATTTTACAATCACCAATGGCAAAGCGTAAACGGGGCGTTATGTAGTACACTTTGTTCCGGTGCGTAAACTTTCTTTGACCCCGCATTAGACTACTAGCAGACGGTAACGTTTGTTGTGGGTGTGGTTAAATAACTTTGATGTATCTTGTTTACTACCAACTTCCAATTAAACATGTTTAGTAGGTCTAAGAGTATCTTGTCGAAGGTTCTCGATTGTTTTAGAAAATTAAGGGCGTTTCTAGACGCTTTGGTAGACCCACATACATAGGGATTGACAGGCACACATAGAGAGACGGAGATTTTAAAATATTTTACCTTCTCGAGACGTGTATTATTATTTGTGTACTTATGTGTTTATTCGCATTGATCCTTCATTTTTATTTTTTGGCACATAGTACTAACTGTGTTAACTGTGTACCGGTACAAGATCTACCATATTGTAAGTTGATGATTTTTTATAATATTTCTTTTGATTAGTAATTGTATTATTAATAAATTAAATCTTATTAATTGTAAATGGTACTGTTTTGGATGTCGTAGTTTTGTAGCGGCAAAATATCGATACCGGGTGTTCGCCTTGAGAATTACAGAAAGCGCACTTTTGCATTTGCCGGCCCGACAGTGTGGAACGCCCTTCCAGTCGCATCTCAGAAACAGCCTGACTCTGGAGTCCTTTAAAACAAATGTAACAACACATCTATTTCGCAAACACTTTCTGGGTTGATGTTATTTACCTTCTTTTTCAGTTAATGTATATTGGCTTGTGCTCCTTATGGTTGAATCGGGATGAAAGACTTTGACTTGGTATGCTCGTATATCTATATATATAAAAATGAATGTTTTTTATGTCCCTATGTCTCGTATGCGCTCCTACGCCATTTAGGCGATTGCAACAAAACTTTAATCAGTTGTTATCCAAATAAATGGGCATTTAAGTGAATTTTTAAAAAAACCTTCTAAAGTGTTCCATTTTAGCCGTTGGTCCTTAATTCGTTTTTTTTTCTTCTATGAATAGGTAAAAAATATTTTCCACATGCGCTCCTAAGCCATTTATTCGATTCTGATAAAACTTTGGGGAGTTGTTGCGAGCACGCTCGCAAATGTTTCTCAACTATTATAACCGTTTTAAAATATTCAGTTTTGAGCCATGGGCCTTATATTCGTTTTTCCTAAATTGAGCTATATAAATATATTTTCAAACCGTATGCGCTCCTACACCAATCATGCGATTGCTACAAAACTAGTGAGTTGTTGTCCATGTTACAGGGAATTTTAATATATTATTAAACACTTTTAAAAAAATATTCCGTTTTCGGCCGTTAGCCCTAAATTCGTATTTGTTCTAATATAAGCTTTGTAAAAAATAATTTTCATATGCGCTCCTACGCCATTGATCCAATTTCGATAAAACATTGGTGAGATGTTGGAAGCACAGCCGCAGAGGTTTCTAATTTATTATAAACTTTTCAAAATATTCCAATTTGAGCCATCGGCCCTATTTACGTTTTTTTCTAATACGATCTATATAAATATAATTTCAAACCGTATGCGCTCCTGCACCATTCATGCGATTGCGACAAAACTTTGACGAGTTATTATCTATAAACATGCCCATTTTACTCATTCATTACAACACTTTTAAAATATTCCGTTTTCGGCCGTTGACCCAAATTCAAATTTTTCTTATATGAGCTTTGTAAAAAATAATTTTCTATGCACTCCTATACCATTTTTCAGAATGCGATAAAAATTTAGTGAGATGTTGTTCTATCGCCCACAAAGGTTCTTAAATTACTACAACCGTTTTAAAATATTCAGTGTTGAGCCAGGGCCCTATGTTTGTTTCTTAAAAAAATGAGCTATATAAATATAATTTCAAACCGCATGCGCTCCTACATCATTCAAGCGCTTGCGATAAACTGAGGTAAGTTGTTGTCCATAAGCCAGAGCATTTTTCTAAGCCCTTATAACCCTTCTAAAATATTCCGTTTTTTTGGCAATTGGCCTCAAATTCGTGTTTTTTTTTCCTTACATTAGGAGCTTTATAAAAAATAATTTCCGTATGCGCTCCTCTACATTATTAGAATGCGATAAAATTTTAGAGAGATGTTGTGCGCACGCCTGCAACGATTTCTTAAATGATTACAACCATTTTAAAATACAACTATAATTTCAAACAGAGCTAATGCATGGATTGATAGCTTTTTAATCAAATACAAATAATGATATTAAATTGAGTATGTGACATATTAAGTAGGTTTCTGAAGTAATACAACAATTCTACAATTTTCCATTTGTGGTAGGGGGCCCTAAATTCGTTTTCCACACTTCTATTATCTATATAATTATCGTATGCATTTCTATAACATTCATTCGATTGTGATAAAACTGGGTCAAGTGAAATGCGCACTACCGAAATTTTTTCTAAATTAGATAAAAACATTTTACAATATTCCGTTTGGGCCAGTGACCCTAATTTCATATTTTCCTCTAAGAGCTTTGTAACTATAATTTCAAACAGAGCTATTGCATGTGTGGAAGTAGCTGAATCCGCCGGCGAATTTTTCAAATTTAGCACATCCATTGTACAATATCCAATTAGGGCTTGGGACCCAAAATTCAATTATTTTTTTTTAATGAGCTTCATCAATATAATTTATAACGGAGATATCAACACTGCCGCCCTTGAAAAAATGACACATTTGTAGTAAAGCAGAGAAAGAACGTTTTTACATTTTTAGTGTAGAGAGTATTTTTGTTATGTGTATAAATAAGCTTGAGGATGAGGACATGTTATCGGAGGATCAATTGGCCTTAGGGACACAAACGCATGATCCAAATATGGAGCTCCAATTGAAGCTGAAACAGCTGGGGCTAGATAATAATTGAGAGCTCAAACACCTGGAGTTAATGCTCAGAGAGAGAGAGAGAATTTTAGCTTAAACAAATAGAGCTAGAGCTACAAGTAAAATTTAAAGAAATGGAAATCACGGCAAATTTGGGGGCAATTGAAAATAGCAATGGAAAATAGACTCACGGCT